CACATCACACAGCTGCTCAGATTGCAGCAAAGAAGGCCAAGGCGGGTGCGCGTGATGTGGAAATCGAGGAGCGCGAACCTCACCACACTGCGGCTCAGATTGCAGCGAAGAAAGCCCAGGCTGGTGCTCGCGATGTGGAGGAGCGAGAGGCCCATCACACAGCAGCACAAATTGCGGCCAAGAAGGCGGCTGGGAACTGAACTTCATTTGTTTTGAGGAGTGGGAATAGTAGAATGAGCAACTGCTGGCGAGGCGCTTGCCTAATGGTATCATAAGAAATTAAGAAATAATTCACCTAAATCAAAAGAACTTCTTTGCTGCCAAATACTTGTGTGTGAAATGTCAATGATGCTTCAAGTCAAGTGGGTAAGGGCTATTAGAAAGAGTCATAATCCATCATCGCTCCACAAGATGCAAACGGTGACCAGAATATCATTAAGAATAGAAGTTCGGGTTTGTAAATGGTGGAATAATCGCAATTTGATTTTCTGGAGGCAAAACATGTCTGCCCTGACATCTATTATAAATTACAAAAAGAAGCTAAAAATAGATATTAAACTTACAGATTTTCCATGATTGGTCCTTTGGGTCTTATCCCCCCAGCTAAGAGTACCCAAAGTGAGCCAATCTTGTTTGCTTCGTTTGTTAGATGCTTTCGTTTATTGAAGTTATACATATCCAATATTTCGAACATCTGTTGCCGAAGAAGGGAAGCGACTTGGCTTACACCACAACTGAAAAACCTGCCTCGTCCTGAACAGAAAAAGCGGCAATGGTTTGTGACATTCCACCATTTTCAAGACGAGTGGCACATTCAAAGCTGCCATGTTACCTTAGGTAGGTGTTGCTTTTTCTGTGTCCACCACGAGCCTGCTTAGCATCACCTAGAAGACCACGAAGGAACCTGATCTGTTGCTGCTTGGTAGCCTAACAACACTGGCTATACATATACAACTCACTCAATCATTGGCGCGGCTTTCACAACATCCTGAGATAATTTGGTCCACCGGCTATGGAACACCCTCCCATCCTTGATCACCGCCAACAAGTGCTTATCCGGATCATCAAAGATACTGATATCATCCAAGGGATTCTCATTCAAGATAAGCATATCAGCTGCAAATCCCGGCTGAATCTGCCCCAGGAACCCAGGAAATCCAAATCTCCTTGCCGGATTAATCGTGGCGCTTTGCAGGATTGCCTTCGGACTGAGTGCCTGAGCTCGTAGCGTAAATTCTTTCGTCTGGGCAATGCCAAGTGGACCCAGTAGATCAGTTCCATAGCAAATCGTAACGCCGGCATCTGATGCAAGCTTGAGGGATCGTAGGCCGGCACGGAGGACCTCGGCGTTCTTCGTCTCGGATTCGATGGGTAGGAAACCTGGAAAGTCAGGAGAGGCCATCTCTGCGTATGCGATGAGCGTTGGTGTGAGGAAAATGTCTCTATCTGCCATGTGTTTTGCTGTCTCTACATCGATCAGATTGCCATGCTCTATGCCCGTTGCTCCATTGTCGATCGCATGTCGGATTGATCGAGGCGTGTATGCATGAGCTGTAACGTAGGTATTGCTATTCTTGGCCACTTCTGATATGGCCCTTACTTCCTCTGCTGTAAACTGGACATTATCTAGTTTATCTGTAGGGCTAGCAACACCACCTCCAGCCATGATCTTGATGAAGTCCGCACCAGTTCTCAACTCCTCTCTCGCACCCTTGATGCATTCTGGAACCCCGTCACAAAGTCTTCCCAGAGCTATCACGGTCCCTCCACAACAGTCCGTGTGATTGTGAGGGCCGCGGACATCTCCATGACCTCCCGTCTGTGTCAAAGCATGACCGGCAATGAATAATCGAGGTCCCTGAATGACACCATCATTGATTGCCTCTTTCAGTGGCAGGAGAGCACCACCACAATCTCGAACGCTGGTGAATCCTCGACGAAGCATTTGCTGACAGACATATGGTTGTCTCATCGAAGAAATACCTTTATCAAGCCCAAAGAGGTCTCCCAGATTCTTCTCTCCAGGTACGGCTGATATGTGAACGTGGTTGTCGATTAATCCCGGGCAAAGGTACTTGCCTCCGAGATCAATCAGAATCTCGTTGTCGTTTCCGACAACCACATAGTCTTCCTCAGTCTTCGAGACAGACTCAATCAATCCGTTGGAAATCTTGACAGTCGTGTTTGGTAAGATAGATCCTTCTGTAGTGTTGACCACGTTTGCATTTCGAAATATATATGTCTTTTGACGTTCCGGTTTCCACGGCCTAAGAAGTCGTTCGGACGTCATACTAGTGCAGATGAAGATTGAAACGTGCAGCGAGTTGAGTTATTTCACGCGAGGTGAAGGTTCAATCGCAAGCAAAGCCTTGATGTCTTTCGGGGTTTGAGAGCTGAGCATGGATAGAAGATTCGAATCGAGGTTGTCAACTGCGGGGCTCATCACGTGGGTTATAACGAGTAAAACGTGATGCTGCTTGACTAGTTCGATAGTTAGGGAAGTCATAGATACTAAGGACTGTATAAAAGACAGAAATATGTTCTCCTAAAGATTTCGGACATCTCTCTTCTCATATTGTCTGCCTATTTCGCTCAATCCAGGCATGCCGAATATAAAACGAGACGTGAATCGGAATATGAGGGCCCGAGTTTCCACCAGTAAAGCATATAAGGAATAACTTATACGCAGGCGGTAGAGGATTCGAGAAATAGCAAGTTGCTAAATGTAAAAATATGCAATTATAAGAGACCTTGATAGCTCAACCTAATGTACATGTCCTTGGACGGATATATTGCGATGGCCGCCTGAAGATTCTCGACTTCGACCTGCCACCCTCTATCCTATAGATTGGTATGAGACGTTATCGTCTCGGAAGATGATGGTGGGAATTGTTCGCTATTGATATCGTTGCTACGCTAAAAATGGAAGAACATATACATCCAAGTACAAATGTTGAGAATTATGCGGTCTCGGAACGCTGTGACCTACAATACTGGAGGGGGAAAATCGTCCTATATGCTGAGACCCCCAAGGACCGATCAGAGTCATGTCCCCTCTTTGGTTATCACCAAGCAAAACTTTCAAGCTTTGTTTCCTCTACCGGAGCGTCTGCGGCTACCAAGCCTAGTCGATATCCAATTTTCCCCTCTCTTCCATGTCCAGTGTATATTTCAGACTCTCCTACGCGAGCAATGACTGGAATTTGAGAAGCATGTGTGATGGGGCTTCCAATGGCGCCCGATTCTTCGATCGAGATTATGCGTTTCGCAATGCTCGCAGCAAGAGCGCTGTCCCACACCCCTTCTTTACGATTGCAGTTGAAAAGCATGTGCACACCTCGGCGGCGGATTATGGGATCCCGACAACGCGTGATAGTGAAGTAGAGAGGAGTGATAATTCCGATGCTGAACGTAAAGGTTGGTTTCATGGTTCCTTGTGATTGTACTCGATGTTCTCCCAAAGGACTGAATGGCTGAGCAGTTCCATTGCCATCATCCGACGCGGGGAAAGACGGAATAGCCATCAACTGGCCAATACAATCCAGCAAACTTTCAAATAGTGCCGTAAAACCGTCCCATATCATTTCATCGTGACCAAAAGCGCAGACCTGGCAAATCTGAAGCTGTTGCATGTTGGCACGAAGTATTAAGACGGCCGGGTCTGTTTGAGAAAAACCTGATTGGTCGAATACCGTGCACCAATGCGAGAAGTATGCCGTAATATGCTGAGTTTCCCTTTCAGTCTCCATTTGCGCCTCAAAGGATGGATTATCCTCTGTATGGATTGGTGCAAGAAGACGCCATAACCAATTTATGAGACAGTCAAAAGCAATTTGAGCGTCGCTGATAGAAGCAAACTTGTGGGGCAATGGAGGGAGCGGTCGCTTTGGAATAGATTTGATGCTGGGGCCGCCTATTGTTTTTTCGTCGATCTCCGTTATTTGATTTTCCAGACGTGTAAAGGTTGGAAGAAAGACTTCCCTGGGTAGGAATCCTCTCCTCACGCTTCCAGTCTTCGGGTCGATCTCTGCAAGGATATTGGCACCACTAGCTATGTGTGTCAATGCCGGCTTGAGATGACCTCTAAGGCTTTCGAAAGCTGCGAATATGATGGAGGTCATTAAGACAACGTCAAAATGGTCTGAACAGCGGGAAAGGTCCAATTTAATCACGCGTTCGATTGCTTGGTTATAATGATGCATAGCATATTCAGACGTTGCCGCATGTGGATCTTGATGTTCCACAAAGCTCTCATGTAGAGCTCCAAGTGCAAGAATAGCATGTACGATCGCGGATTCAGAGTGAGCAGCTTGCAGAATAATTGTGTTCCAGATTCCGGCAGTGAAAGGCCCAGCTAGCTCAATAGCAGTACGAAACCGAAAGAAGTCGAAGCATCTCATCTCTTGACTGCTAAGACCAGGCAATGGGCTCGGCGACCTTAACGGCCGAGGCGCATAGACCACAAATGAGAGGTCCTTCGTATCAGATCGGGGCGTCGGATGAATATAACCACCACACTGTCTCCCTGCTTTAGTGCATCGATGACAATCCGGACGTCCCTCATCGCATTTAATGCGCCGGGACTCTGTTGTTTGTAGTTAGCATATACGAAGGAGACAGGTTTCAGCTATTTAAACTCACTGCAAGTGGCACATCCAGTCCTAACTTTGGTGCCCCCAAAGCGCAGACGAGGTGTAGACTCCGACATAGAAATTCTTTGAATCACTTTTATAGCTCAAAGAGAGGGTATCTACTGAAGCTTGATCTTTTGCGAACTTCGGTATACATTTTCTACAGCTACATTTTGTAGAGATACCTCCTCTCGGTGACGGGCAATTGAGGCGTGTCTTCTGTCCGATGTGGGAAGGGAATAAGCCCAAGGGCCTCAGGAGAGAAAGTGCGGTAAACCGAATGCGGTTAGCGTATACGAGACATTGCGCCCTGGCATGGCATTTTGCGAGAAAGTTGACATAGCACTAAGGAATGTCATGATGTTATACCGCCCCACGAACACCATGATCAAGATGACGCCGGCCAGCTAGGGTTAACGATGATCGTCTGATTGAGAAGTTGTAGAAATGGCTCAAAAGGGGAATTGTGAAGTTGTGAAAATTAAGGTCAGCCTTGTAGGTAACACTGGTACAAATACGGTTAGTCATTTACGAGCACGTCCTTGGGATCGCGGACCTTGCTTAGTTTCTACTTTCAAATTATTCTTAGACTCCATCATACTCTTGCACTTTTTCAAGAGAGAAATATCCCGACAGACTAAGTTCAGCCCCATGTTGTAAGATGCAAGGCACAGCGCTTGGTTTCCACGCGGCTAGGCATAACACCTTGTTAGTGACCTGGGAAGCATGGATCAGCTTCTTGCCATTTTAGCCCATTTTTATTACATGTCAGGGAGCTTGATGACTGAGATAATATATAAAGGTGTTTCTAGGTACACTCGATCAAAACATCTCAAGTCCACATCTCCTATTCATTTTGCTCTTCTTTATTCCCCTTGCCCAATTTCAAATCAAATCCCTGATTCCATTCCATTTCCATTTCCCTTTCCATGCTCTGTTGCTGAGTCATTAATCCATATAATACCTGGTTTTGAGGAAAGATAATGTTGCGAGTTCTCTCGGTTTCAACATGGATGCCTTTTGTTGCTTCGTTGGTTTTCATCCATCTTTCTCAGGCTCTTAGTACCAATGGACGTGTGTTGAACTTCGATCTGCATCGCAGACAATCAAACCCCAATTATAAGGCGAATGCAAATATTGCATTAGATGGAGTAAGTGTGACACATTCCCAATAATTGTGTCTAAGAGGGCCTTTGTGCATAAAGAGCATATTGCACCAACAAGCTAACACATTTCACCAGGGGTTTTGGTTCGCAGATGTATCTGTTGGAGATTCCGATACTCCATTAGAGTTGCTTCTTGATACTGGATCAGCCGACCTCGTCCTGAACCCAGGCTTATACAAGCGTGGTGCAAACGCAATGGATTTGCATGAAACTTTCAATATCACATATGGAACCACTGGGAACTCTGCCGGAAGCTCAAGCCAGACGGTAAGGTTTAACTTGAAGAATGAAGCTGTATGAAATGAAACTGATTGAAGTCCTTTACGTAGCTTACTGGAGCCATTTACAACGACACAGTTGAGCTGTCCTCTTTTACACTAGACTCTCAAACCATTGGCGTTGTCGTAGCGAATAGTTCCAATAGCAGCAGCAGTGTCTACCCGCATAATGGAATTATAGGGTTTGGAGCCGAGTCGTTCAGCAGCACGAACTCTACCCCGTTTTTCCACAACCTCTGCCAGCAAAATCTGGTCAAAGAATGCCGATTCGGACTTGCGCTCGGCTTGAACGGGACAGGGACTTTGACGCTCGGAGGAGTCAGCGATATAGTGCCTCGTGGAGAGCAAAGCTTGACCAAAATCCCTATCCTACAAGAATGGTTCGTTATGGCTGACTTGGCTGTTGGAGAAAATATCATCCAAAGCGATTTGATAATTGAGTTTGATAGTGGAAGCTCTGCCATTACCGGGTAAGCCATTCCACTCTCCTAACGCTCCACGTTCCGAAAATCCCTATCCCATCTTCTCGATATACTGTTACAGTTGTCTGAACTATCTAGACCCATTGAAGCAGTCTCAGCTCTATTCAACGCGACAGGAGTTCAATCAGTCTTACAACATTCCGATTCCGGCGATGTCTTGGTCGGCTATTTCCCCTGCTCCGTGCCTCCTACAGCAGGCTTCAGCCTACCTTCCGCAAGCAACATCTCCAGCGCCGCATTAAACACGACGAACATCAGCCGCCGAAGCAAGATTTTCGACATCCCAGCTGCAGCAATGTCTACGGGCCCCGTCGACGCAGAGGGTAAAAACTGCAGCTGTGTAATCTCAGGGTTCGATTATGCGAAAGTGCCAGGGCTATGGGTGGTAGGACAAGGTGAGTTCGAAAGAAAATTTGTGTTCTCGCTTTGTTACCGTTGGATTTTACCAATCCAGCCAAGCTACGGAGTAAATAATTCTTCAAAATAGCTTTTTACCAGGCAAAATACATGGACCATTCTCTTGACGACGGGTCGATAGGGCTAGTAGATTTGATCTCGAGTGCAGGCAATTCTTCAAGCACTTCCTCAGCACCGCCGAGCAAATCAACGGAAGTATCTGCAGGGAACATCAACTCACAATGCGCGGGATTGCTGCTTTCGCTGAGCGGCCTTTTGGTGATATTCACCCTTTCGGTATAGGGGCGGACGAAAAGAATGTGGCTTGGGGTTTTAGGTTTCTGCTTACCGATATTGGACTATGAACAGGCAAGATTGGAAGAGAGGTATACGCATTGGGGATTGGCTTTATCAGCGCCTGATTGTTGCCCGTGGACACGTTTTTGGTATCTTGCTTTTTCATGAGGGAACATGTGTCTCGGTATTCCGGCGGTTTATATTTAGCACGCTGTCAATTATAGATTGAGGGACTTATAATGGCATGGGGTGGGACCACCCCAGAACTGATCGGACTCAAAGTTGAAAGATATGCAGCTACCGGTACTTAACCTTGCGTGTGACACTTAAAGTTAGATGCCACCTTATTAATATAACAAAAAATCGCGATGTAGTGTAAAGATTCAAGTGAAAGCTAGCCTATATATAATTGCAGGGCTTAGTCACTTAGAAAGATAGACCACCTCCTCTCTGAAGAGTGGTGATGCGTTGAGGAGAGAGAAAGTCGCGACGCGCAACATGTTAGATGCCCCACAATCATTGCGGGGTAGAAACTTCAACTTCAACTCTAACATCTAAAAGTATATACGACATTCCATTGTGCTCCACACTCTTTCCACACCTCAACAAGGCAGAAATGAACTCACTTGTTATATTAATCACCGGAGCTAGTGGCGGGATCGGCGCTGCAACCGCAATCCGCCTAGCCCAGCCCTCCACGTCCTACAAAGTAAAAGCCATCGTCCTACACTACAACTCCAATTCTTCAAAGATCCAATCCATAAAAGAAAAAATCTACTCCATCGATCCATCCATCAAACTCGTCCCAATCCAAGCCGACCTCTCTTCTTCAGATGATGTAGTCCGACTCCATGCCGAAGCGGTCGCAGCATGTGGTGCCATCAATGTCCTCTTCGCCAACGCAGGCACAACCTCCAACGCCGCCGGCCCAACCGGGCAACTCGAAGATGTCTCCCTAGAAACCTTCGAGAAGACCTGGAGAGTCAACACCCTATCCTCCTACCACCTCACCCAGCTCGTCGTGCCCTCCATGCTAGCCCAGTCTTTCGGCCGCGTGATCTACAACTCCTCCATCGCAGCCCTGACCGGCGGAGTCGTCGGTCCGCATTACGCTAGTAGCAAGAGTGCGCTGCATGGCATGTTGCATTTTTTGGCTGGACGTTATGCGAAGGAAGGCATTACGTTCAATGCGGTGGCGCCGGCGCTGATTGAGGATACGACGATGTTGCCGAGTGGGAATGACGAGTTGAGAGCAAAGATCCCGATGGGGAGATTGGGGAGGCCAGAGGAGGTGGCCAGTGTGGTTGAGCTTATGGTTGGGAATGGGTATGTCTCCAATAAGGTTTGGGCTGTTGATGGGGGCTGGTATGCTTCTTGATTTTGTCATTTTGAGTCATGATGTACGGAGTATAGATGCCGTAGAAATATGTCTTGGTTTCAACCTTCCCAGTGGATATGCTTGTCCCATAGTTTCATATTTTGTTTCCTCTTTACCTCCAACCGCTTCTCAAATCCAAGTCAACGAATGTGCTGGTACCTGGCTACATGACCCAAGATGCACCTCGTGGTCTATCGAGGCTAAGTTGGCTAACAATAATTCGCTAGCATGGTTGTGAAGAAGCTTACACTTATGAGAGCGGAAGCTGATAATCTCGTGTTTGGAATCTTGCCTATGAAGAAGATGGTCTAAGGGGTGCAAAGGGCTTTGTATGAAGGATTTTATGCAGGAGATGAGTTACATGTGCCGCACAAATTGATGCCAGTACAGGATGAAATGAAGTATAGAGGCACGTGTTACACAAAGGGCGCACTCCAGTGCTCGCGGTCGAGGAACGAGCCGAACCTTTCGAAATTACCTAGGTACTGATGCAGGGGTTTATTCGATTTCAGGTGAAGACTTGTATTTGCTAAGATCTACGGGTGCTATGATGAGATATCCTCATGCATGGCTAAGCTAATCCGATGTTCTGTCCATCACGTGGTCCGAAAGCCCCCTCCACAGTACCTTGTAAAGCTTGCCTATAACAATAGAACTTTAATCCTTTGACTTCCTTGTGCATGTTTTTCAGCAATTGATCTTGCAGCTTGTCGAATCTTCCAAGGAATACCTACCTCGTTCTATTGCCCACGTGACCTTTACCCCAGATTTGATGAATAAGCAGAGCTTGCCCGAAGACCGCGGCTCGGTCTTTACTCCATTACGGCCGAACTACCGATATAGCCAACCTCTACCCCACATCCCAAAATGAATAAAGCCTTCGATGTCCTCTCTGGCATAACACTCTGCTCGCTTACTATTCACATCCTCTCTCTCTACATAGCTTGGATCCCCGAACTCGACTTGCTCGTATTCCTAGTCATCGTCGGCCTCAATCTGCTACAATGCCTACCGGATCCCTCTTCCCTGACATAGACATTCCTAATGTCGACCTCTGGACGTTCTTGTTTGAGCGAAAGGATCGGCCGTATCCTGATAACAAAGGTAGCTGACCCTCTTCCCTATTATACAATATATGTGAAAGAGTAATGGCTAATGTGTATTGCAAACAACAGTCATCTACCTCGACTCAGACACCAACCGCAGCTACACATATGCTCAAGTCCGCGCCACGGCCCTCGATTTTGGAAAGGGGCTGAAGGCTAATTGGAGCTGGAAGAGAGGCGATGTCCTCGCGCTCTTCGCGCCGAACTGCATTGATACCCCGCCCATAATGTGGGGTGCACACTGGGCTGGCGGAATTCTATCGCCCGCCAACCCAGGCTACACAGCTGCAGAACTGGCCTTTCAGCTGAAAGATGCAGGAGCCAAGGCATTAGTGACGCAGTTGCCGTTCCTAGAAACAGCCCGCGAAGCATGCAAAGCAGTAGGCATTGATGAGGATCGGATCATCCTTATGGGCGACGAAAAGGATGAATCCAACCGCTTTAAGCATTTCTCCAGTTTCAAGAACTTTTCAGGCACGTCGAGATTCAGGAAAGCGAAGATAGATCCTAAGAAAGATCTCGCGTTCCTAGTCTACAGTTCTGGGACAACGGGGCACCCAAAGGGTGTAATGTTGACGCATACCAATATTGTGTCGAACGTGTTGATGAATGCTATTGCTGGGGATCACAATCTATCATGGAAGGGCCAAAAAGATGACCAAGGAGACAAGGTCCTTGCTTTCTTGCCGTTCTTTCACATCTACGTAAGAACCATTTCTTCCCTTTCACCTTTGCATCTTCTATCTAGTTAGCCAACTAACGAAATATTGAACAGGGCTTAACCATCCTATGCCATTCACCCCTCTACCGCGGCTGGCAACTCGTCGTGATGAAGAAATTCGACCTCGCGCTCTTCTGCTCCAATATCCAAAAATACGCCATAACCTTCGCATACGCCGTACCCCCCGTAATTCTCATGCTCGGCAAATCGCCCGTCGTCGCCAACTACGACCTCTCCAGCCTCCGTATGGTGAATTCCGGCGCCGCTCCCCTGACACGGGAATTAGTAGAAGCGGTATGGAAACGGCTCAAGATCCCCATAAAGCAGGGGTACGGCTTAAGCGAGACGAGTCCCACGACCCACACGCAGCGCTGGGAGGACTGGCAAACCACAATCGGCTCCGTGGGCCTGCTGCTGCCGAACCAGACAGCCATGTACATGGACGCGGAAGACAAGGAAGTGCCCGCGGGGCAGACGGGCGAGCTATGGATCAAAGGCCCGAATGTCTTTCTCGGATATCTGAATAACCCTGAGGGGACTGCGAATGCGCTTACGAGCGATGGGTATTTCAAGACAGGCGATGTGGGGCATCAGGACGAGAAGGGGAATTTCTATATCACGGATCGGGTTAAGGAGCTTATCAAGTACAAGGGGTTCCAAGTACCGCCTGCGGAGCTGGAGGGGATTTTGACTGGACATGATGATGTGGATGATGTGGCTGTGATTGGCGTCTATGATGAGTCGCAGGCGACGGAGGTGCCAAGGGCGTATATTGTGCCGAAGAAGGGTGTGGAGGCGGGGAAGGCAAAGGAGAAGGAGATCGTGGAGTGGCTGGGTACGAAAGTGGCTAGTCATAAGCGGTTGAGGGGAGGCATTCGGTTCGTGGATGTGGTGCCTAAGAGTGCGAGTGGGAAGATTTTGAGGCGGTTGTTGAAGGAGGAGGCGCTTAAGGAGGAGAAGGATGGTGCGAAGGCGAAGTTGTAGAGGGATATGATATAGTATGATATGGTATGATATACGGGGATGTATGTATGACTACAAGAGTCGTGCTTTTAGAACAACATAGAAGGTTAGGTATCCCAAGATCTACGAATCTGATTTCACAGTATTTATCCACACCTCATCTCACATGACATTGCGAAGTGCAGAACTTGATGAGCGCTAAGCCTAATCTAGTCCAACTAGACCTCCTCTCGCATTGCTTACGTAGTATAATCTAGACAATTCCATCTATTCTCTATACTATAGGTCAGTTCTTACCTTCCTACTTAAGCCTAATAGCACCATAAAGGATTGCATCCATGACTAGGTTTATTGTGCTCTATACTAGTGCTCCTCTATTTCGCATACCTCTAATGATTAGCTTTGTTGATTTCCCGGAGATCTGAAGGAAAGTATGTATATTCAATCTGGAACCCGCTCTGCAAGGAACGTCTTACTACCATATTAGTGAATTTTGGGCTTCTACTAGAATTGTACTGATCGTTTTCGTTCTTATTGATTCTACTTTTAAATAATCAGAGAGAGTTTGCTATTAGTCTATACAAATTCCTTCAGTACCTGAAGAGACATAGTAGGATCAGTGCATATCCATTAACTATTATACAGGCTATCGATTTCCGATTCGTACAGCGCGATTGCCGAGGTCCGTAGAACCGTATTCTTGACAGTCCGTGGTAGCGGTTGTGCAGGATTCGTAAATAGCACATGTTCTCGACTGATCTTAACAACGTCGGCGCATTTTCCATTCGCCTGCTCAATGTAGGGCCAGATAGACTCAAGCTTAGCCTCCTTGCTCTTCTCGGACACTGAAGTCTTTTCTCCAAATTCGATCATGACAAAGGGCCGCTTCCTCCCTTCGCCGCCAATAATAACGGTCTGAATATCAGGATGCTCTTGAACTACGGTTTCAAGCGGCGTGGCATAGAGACTCTCGCCATGAGCGAGATTCACGAGGTCATCGGCTCGGCCACTATAGCGCCATAGGTTCGGTCATGTAGGATGCCTCGCCCAGAGGTCTTTAGTTGAGAACTCATCTAGATGAGGATGCAAGTGAAATATCTGTTGCCAGCGGGCGAATTGTGATTGACGCTTAAAAACAAGCTCACATAAAGTGTCAGTCCTGGGGAGCATCACCATTCCATTCCTAGCTCGGAATTGGTAATAATCCCAGTCATCCTCATTGCGAATTTCAATCCAATAAGCACCAGCCTCGGTTGTCCCCATTGCAGGCTGGACCTTGACATAACCAACGAGCTTTTCTGCTACGACCTTAGAGAGTGGTGCTCCTGCAAAGTAAAGGTAGCCCAGTCTGCGGAGGGTTTCAAGCCCTGATAGCGTACGAAAAACATCAGTAATATGGGACGGTACCATTACTGCCCCTTCAGCCTTGCTTTCCTGCAAGACTTGGACAGTCTGGTTTGCCGTATTATTCATCGGTGGTGCAATTACAAGCACCATATTAAGAAAAGTCGTCCATTGCAGTGCGGCAGTCATTCCAACAAACTAAGATCGTAAGCAGGAACTTCTTGCCTCCATGGGAACTTACATGCAACATTGCCATCGAAACATAAAAACGCTTATTACGGAACTGGTCGCACATGGTCTCGTCATAGTCATGAAGCATCAATTCAGCCCTATCAAACGTCGACATCATCCAATTAGTATAGATGATGGGTTTCGGAAGTCCTATAATCATGAATGTGTTAGTAACTAAAATAATTTCGAGAAGGAACAAAACTTACCAGTGGTACCGGAGGTGTGGAAGATGATCCACGGGTCAGCGTAGGCTTCTTCCCAGGTCTTTATATATGGGTAATATGGCGCTATATTACCAAAAAGCCATTTTGATTGCTCGGGAACTTCTAAAGTCGAAATTCCAGAGCTCTGACTAACGACCGAACGAATCAAGGGTCTTAACTCTCTGGCGTGAAGATATACACTCGCTTTGGTTGAACTTAATAAGTGGTGCTGTGACTCAACCGTCGCGAATGGGGAGCAGAACAAAATCTATATAAGTGAGCACATATGCTCGAGATTAGACAGGTATAGCAGATATTCACCTTCTTCCCCAGCTTGTGGGCGGCTACCGCAATAATAGGGTATCTGAGGTCCTTAGGACCTGCATACGCCAGAGTCTCAACCCGATTGCCCTTGGCCCCCAGTTGATCTTTAAGCCACCGTGCTGCGTGATTAATGGCGTTAGAGAATTGTCGATAACTGATATCCTGATATCCTCGAGACAAGTCGTCGTTATCAACCGGTATAGAAGCCTAAACCCGTGTGGGGTCATTGGCTGCATATGCATCGATCAATGTGCTAATAAGTCGCTCTCCAAACTTTGCCTCTGCACCGTCAGCCATATTGTGTAGCTCTCGGCTGTAAGACTAGGACTGATGTTTGGAAATTAGACGTTTGCAGAGTAGTTGAGTAGTTAAGTAACAAAATAGTTTTCGATTTTGAAGAATCATACCAAGTTCACCAGGTCTAGGGTGCTTATGAAAAAGAATCAATTCTCGCTTACAACGACTTTATCCTTGCTGACCGAAAAAGGAAAGTGATAAGTTGGTGGCTTTGGGTTGAATGCAAAATGCTGACATTTCTGTGCCGTATGCTGTATTCCCAACATCGGCGGCCACTTCGGGATAACCCCTCCCACACCCGGCAGTAGGTAGCATTGGTAAAAGAGTCCCTGTACGAACTGGAACACGCCTCGAATTAGTCAAGTTTAACCCAAAGAGGTAATACATGAAGACAGTTTCTTTCACTACAATACTCGATAGGCATGGAGCTTGCTTCACTTGAGCGAGAGATTCGAATTCGAATAAATGCGCCGTTGGGTATGTTCGTACATGTATAAGAAAAAATACTCTTATACAAACATACTCTTCACGCACTTCTTAAAAGTTATACTTGAACCATACCTTGGAGTTATTCGAGGTTTGGCCTCTCACAATCATTATTCATTCCTTCTGCCATTAGATACTTTGCTGATATTCCTTTGCGTTGAGGCTCCCTACGAAGCAGCATGCTGTCTCCCATCTTTTTACTGTCATCCACCTTGAGCTATGCTTTAAGCCTACTGCTGCTTGTTATTGTCTGCTGTCTTGCAGTAGTATTCTATCGACTACGGCTCCATCCCTTGCACGGTTCCCAGGCCCAGGCTCAGGCTCAGTCTGGGGGAAGATAGGCTTTCGCGCCGTGTATCACGCTTTTATCGGTGACTTACACCTAGATATGCTCGAATGCCGCCAAAATACGCTACGTTTCGATTTCCTAGTCACAATCTTTCCACGTCTTCAAAAGAACTGCCTTGTTGATATCACTTCTCGGGAACAGGTGACTACGTCCGATATGCGCCTAACAAACTGATCGTTTGCAAGGATTACGCAGTTAAAGGTAAGAGCAAAGTAATGGAAGAGAGCAAATCGGTTCTAAACGATATTCAGATATATATGCGCGGGGTGCAAATGTAAAGAAGTCACAAGCACATTGAGCTTTCGAAACAACACCCACAGCACATGATTTGCAAAGCACTGTTGATAAAGCGCAGCATTCCCGCAAAAGACGAGTCATGAGTCAAGCTTTCTCCGAAGCAGCACTCAAGTCTCTCGAACATATTTACTCACATGTAAAAGTATTTATCGAATGCTTAGCAGAATCTGGTCTTCGCCTACTTTAAAACCTCCTCCCCTCCCCCCATAGTGGTGGTTGGGTTGGGCAAACCTAAAGCGAGGTGAGCAGTTTATCTGGGCATCTGCAGAATTTATGCATAGACGGAAATTTAGGGCTGTGTTGCTCAGCTCTGCCTTGGTGTCACCTTCGCTTTGCCTAACCACCAGAACCCCCCTATTGATATGCTAGCCAAGCCATGCCTAGCCACTTTAGAGGCATGGCAGGGGTCTAACCACCTTAATGGCGAGGCATAGGAGAGCTTGGGCTAATTAAACCGCCGTAAATGAACAAACACATCATGGGGTTAATAGTGGCTATGCGGTTCTCGTGGCTATGCATGCATGCAGTTGAGCCAATTTTATCTCGGTGATACAGTATGCTTGGTTTGACGAAAACTTTTCAACCACATATTTGCATCATACTTGGATTCTTTCCGGTGAGCACTGGTTACAAGATTGGGTTTTGAATCCGAGTCAGAGACAATACTACACGACTGCATCAAAATCCAATTCCCTTCCCGAAGACGAGGCTCAGGGAGACAAATCAAGTGCCTTGCATCATTCAGGTTCAATTGGAAGCTGCTACGTATACTTCGTCATTTCGAGAAAGAGGTTCTAGCTACGCCTTTCAAGATTTTTCGATAAAATCGGTGACGGATTTCTAAGAACCGCATCTCATCAGCGGCCATTCTTCCAAAAACGGACCAATGTCATTCAACAAATTAGCTGTATCTGCCGTAAATGGCGCACTAGAGATACAGCCTGCCCTTGCAAACATCAATTTCGACTTCTCGCTGTGGAAAATGGAACCGCCAAAGGAGTTCGAAGGTGTTGGTGCTGCAATGACCACTTTTCGAAGGAACGAGGCAGAGAATGGCTGCGCACACCGAACTGCTCGGAAGTTGGGAGCTCTTTTCGAGAAGTTGCTCCCAACTACTCCCAACCTCATCAAAGCCTACGGCCAACGGGCCTCGGATATCTCCAAAGCTTCATCTATTGATGCGGAGGCCCGGGCGGCCTATGGGGTCTTTGCCAACCGAGTGGGAGCGGACGCAACTAGCTTATGGGCTGCGGCAACATCAGGGAGTAGCGCAATTGCGGTTCACTTGCTTGCTTGTATGCTGGCAAGAATCTGGGAAGGACCCGAAGCAACCTCGATCTGGGTAGAGATCACGAATGAACGGAAGAAGGAGATCAAACATGACTTCGAACAGAATAACATTGGTGATGTAGCTAGTGTGGCTGCTGCACAACAAGAGCTGACCCGAAGTCACCTTTCTGAATGGGATGCAAGTGCTCGTGCTTGGCTCAAGGTAGCCGATGCTGAGAAACGCCTACAACAGACACAGCTCATGCTGATTTTGGAAAATGTACAAGCTCCTGTCAACAAGGAAACAACGCCATACAGTAGCGTAGTACGCGCATGGAAAAATGCATTGATTCAGATGGAGGGTTTGATCAACGGCGTATCTCAAGAAGCTCAAGGGGGCGACATCATTCTGGCACTTATGGCATGGCATCTATTCCCCGACTTGATGGTTGTTGCTCCTCGTCCAACGCCAGTCCGGCAGCGTGATCCTATTTTCACCCATGGCGGGGTGTTAACAGTTGGACTAGTCAATCCGAATACGGAAAATAGGGGTGTCCATTGGTCTCTACCACTCGCACACCTCCGGCACTATGGAGTTCCAGTCGTGTCTTTGAGATCAATTGACAGTAACGAGCGATCGAGAATTTCTACCGGCGAGTTACTTTTAGCTACATTTGGCTGTGTTTTACAGGGGTGGGGTGAGGCCGGCAGCAATACCCTTCGAGCCGCCACCTGGCTTGATAATGTCTTCAGGCTTCTTGAGAAGTCTCGGTCGGCCGGGGGACGTTCTGCCCGCATTCTGTTAGATGGGGATGCTGCTCTCTCTTGGTTTTCCCTACTACTTGCAACTGCAAGACAATACCTCGAGTCCCAAGGAGATGGACGCAAGACAGCGAATAAACTCATTCTCCTGGGGCGAAAGCATGGGAAGCGGTTCTTGGATCGGCCAGCTGAGCCGTTATTTGGTTTGCTAGGTGTTTCAAGCATAATTCCCGATGACAAATTTCAGAGCAATTCATATACAGATATCGTTGCAGGAATATCTCAGACTTCTCCATTATCATCTAGGATTCAGCAAAGAGGCAGTTATGTTGATCTAATTACTGCAACTGACGACAAGATACACTTCCTAAGGAAGGTAGCCCTGAATATCGCTACCAAGATGAGCCTTGATCCTAGCCAAATATTCATCCGCTACAAGCGTAGCTATCCAAAGTGGTCAAAACATGTGTATGAGTACACTACCGCTTTACCATGGCATCGAGCCACACTAAAACGAAAGTTCGACGAAAGCAGAGCTGAAGCCGACCGTCATACGCGGTGGCTATATAGGGGGGGAGTTTGTGGAGAAGAAGAATTGATCAATGGCACTACAACAGATTATCTGCAAGTCATCCTAATAACAGCAATCTCCAAGGTTTACCAGAAGATTTTTGGGAGTTCCACCAAGATAGAAAAGGCTGGGTGCGGCTCGGAACCGATCGCAGCAACTTCACCCCAGAGGAACAGCAATCAATTCGTCAGGAATTTGAAAATCGAAAACTCTTCTATGCATCCCTTGGAGAAAATACCATTGATCGAGAAAGTGAGCTCATTGGAGACTTTGACGCTAAGAGATTGGGCATATTCTGGGACAATATGGGTTGCCTGGGCGAAAATCAGGGACCAACACTTTGTTATCGATTGATATATGGAGATGAACACTCAGCAGGATTGTTTGTTGGCGAGAGCAGAGGCAACACGCTGGAACTTATACGGACTGACGGCACAGAAGCCGCAGACTTTTCTGATCTATTCGAAGCAGGAAAGATTGGTGCTACTGCAATTTCGGACAAACTGCTACAAACATTCCACAATGCCAATGCAGCAGTGGATCCTCACCTCAAAGCCCTCAAAGCAGTATCAACTGCTGCTGCAATGTACCGAAAATTTCCGAATACGTCTGTTGATGTTCGAATTCTTCAAAACCCGATTTGGGACACAGCATGGGTAAAAAAGTGTTACGATGAACCTCCCGGAAGAGATCTGAACGGACTACCATTTTCTCTGCAGCCTTATAATTTGGAGCGCGCAACAGCGTTTGCATGTATCGCCATGTTCGAGTCCGGCATCTATGATATTGACCCGAGCTTGCTCGAGAATGTTTCTGCTATGTCATCCAGTGACTCGATATACATTGGAAGTGCCTTGCTACTGGATCCACAAGAGCCGGCGTATCCTGGAGATATACGGCGTGTTTTAGGCAATATAGGCAAGCCTGGTATGGCTTTCCTTGTACCGCCTGTTGATCCTATGATACGGAAGGTGGAGATGTCTGATTGGCCTCATATCGACCAGGATGAATTTGATGGGGATATGCGTGACTGTTTTGAGAGCGCATCGCTGCATCTCTCTTTCACTGGAGCAAATACTCCTATAAATCTGGGCTACTCAGGTGGACAGGATGTGGATGTCTATCTGCTGGAGACGCTTATTTCGCTAAGGGATGGCGGTGACTGGATTGCGGATTTGGATATCTTTAAAACTATCGGCAATACGAGGCTCCGGAAAATGAGCGACTGTCAAGACCATAACCATAACAGCGTGGTTGCAGCACACAATTTCACGGCGATTGATAATTGGCTCGGTCTGATTGATTCCCCAGAATCACCTTTGAGCATCGTGCGCGCTCACAAAAACTGGCAAGCTCGACTCGCAGCTACAACAATCAGTATTGCTCTGGGGCGTGAGACGGTTGTTCTATCGGACCACCCATGTTGGTGTTGTTTTAATAGCAGAGCTAAAGAAATGGCGTGGGGCCAAAGCTTTCAGAAAGTTATTGTTATAGGGTAGAACCCTTTGTTCAAGAAACGTATATAAAGTTCAGTACAATCACCAACTAAAGAGGCGAAATCAGCAGTGTTAGAAGTCTTTAACAACAAGCTCCAATACTTGCACGAGTGCATTGTCAGAAATCGTTCAGACTGTTGGATTTATACTTTGACGGAAATCGGTTGATACCCCCGAGAAGTACATCTTTAAAGAGGCTGTGAAAAGGTCCGTAGAAGCCTAATATCCACACGAGACCTCTCGCCTCTTATTGCCCAGCTTGTCCGAATGATATCTGTCTATATCGCGTGGCGTAGATGTTGAGAGTCTATCCAAATATAAAATAAATCCCGTGGAAGACGTGACCAGTCCCACTTACCGCCAAACGTATGCTTACCTAAAAGAAATCCGAGTGTGTTCTAACAAAAACTGATCGTAAGAACAATCGTCACTACCGGAACTGCCCCGGCAACTCCTCCTCAAACGACGATACCTCCGCGGCCGAGTCCGCGATGCTGGCTTCGGAGCAAGGTATAGCTTGCAGGCTATTCTTACTATCACGCTTATCTCCTTCAGAAAGGTATCACAACCCTCATTGTTTAGTCAAGATGACCATACCTCAACGTTATAAGAAATCACAAATCAAAGCAAAACGAAACGCATCAAATGGTATGGAAGCCGACCAACCAGGTGTATAGGATTGATATTACCCCACGCACCCTTCTTTGTACCACGCGATATCTAGTATCATTATACCATCATCAAGACGGTATCGAAAGACTACAATATTCAATAGTCTTTCGACGGACAAACTAGGCCTTTTATAGTCATACCCAGGACAGATCTTTGCATCTCAAGATCTTGAAATACCAAGACTGGCCAGCCCTGCATCTGCTGTATGCCGCTAAGACTTTTTGAGTTAGCGAAAGAGTTGGTGTGGCATGAGTGGTTGTTTCGGTTATATCGGTACGAGTAGTTATAGGTCGGTATACTCGACTCGATTTCCGGTCTTTGATATCGATCAATAGTCTTTAGATGGATGAAACTTATGTCCGCTCAATTTCGGAACATACAGATCAGACCACAAGATTCTCAGCCAAAGAATTCCCCGGCAGCAAGAGTTTCCCAGGGTTTTCCAGTTTCCCAGGCCCTCTCCATAAGCATACGTGCTTTGTGCACCTGGACGACAGATTAGTAAACGAGATGAAGAATAATGATTTGTGTACCTACCTGAGTCATTCCGAAGTGTTCAACGCCCTTCAGCCTCTCCAAGATATCGACTCTCTGTTTATCGTCCTGGGTGTCACAGCCAGCCGTAAAAATGGGGAACAGAAGACATGCAGTCGCGCTGCTTCCTCGTCGAACTTTGTAGAGCGCACCATGAATTTCACGAACTGCATTCTGTACATCGGGGTGCGTAGAGGGCTTTCCGAGAATACGTCGATAGAGATGAACTAGGCCAGCCCAATGGAATGCCTCATTCGTAGCTGCCATCTCGATGCTGTCCCACTGATAAGCAGCTTCTCCAGTTGACTGCATATGTGTGCAAGGCTTGGCTGGATGCAGTCGTGATGCAACGAGTTCTGTTTCGAGCTTATCTGCACGTGCAACAGTTTCATCAGACGGCCTCCAGTCTGGCTGAATTGTGAGGTCAGGGCCGATTCGCTGATTGTCGCAGATTCGAGCCAACTCTGCAATCTTAGACAAGAGCCGAACACATCTACTCGTGAAGCCAAGAATGCAGTCTATCTCATAGTCAGTTTCGTCGCGGGCTTCATAATCCAGAATCCACGAGGACGTTGCCGGATTTGTTGTCACACCGCTCAAACTTCCCAAGACATCAAGATAGGCAAACCAACTCCAGAGGAAAGATGCCACTTTGTCACCTCTAGCAGCGCTTCGCATCCCTTGGGGTCCACCTCTGGCGGCTATTATTTGACGAGCCGTGTCCAGATGCCTCTGCCAAGGTACCGGGATTCCAAATGCGACTGGCGACACGATCTCGAGAGAGGCAAGCATGATCGCAGAAGCTAAGCTCGTATCTGGTATGGTCTCGCTTGGATCATCCAATGCTCTTCGGAGGTTGGGGAATATATCTTGAACCCAAAGAGCAATACGAGTGGCAGGTTCGGGCTGGCGCAGAAGTCGTGCCCGATGTGATGCAGAGTATGCAAGCAAGAGACACAGTAGATCATCATCTTGTACAGCCATTCGTGGCAAGATAGTTCTGAATGGGTTGGATGAACAGTTGTGAGGGATGAGGCATCCAGCAGTATGGTTGAGAAAATGGTGCTGCAATTGTTAGCTCGAAAGGCATGCATTACGCACTTTAATGGCTTACAAAATACTGTTCCGGCGTTAGCATAATTTGAGAACTGGATGTCTGAAACTCACTAGAAGGTTCATAGGATTCTCAAGAAGTCTGTTGGGCAAGGGTTCCAGGACTCGAGGGATGCAGATAGCCACCGGTCTCTCATAATACCCACCATTTTCAAAGGCGGTATCATGCGATTCTGTTCCAAATCCAAACTCCACAGGTGAGCCACCATCTTCATTCAGCACTAAATCCAAATGATCCTTCAACGTAATGGGAGAAGACCCGGATATAGCGTTTGCATCATCATTTTTCCCGATATCAAGATCTTTAAAGCCGCGATCAATGCCCCATGTAGTCATGCCTTGGTAGAGATCTTGGTATTGTTCGCGCCAAGTTGGCTCCTCGGGATTGCTGGTCGTGCCACTTTGTTGGGGTATTCCGGGCGGGCCAGAAAGCAGTGACTCTACAGACAGTCGGCGCAAGTCTTGAGAGTCCTGAGTCGGGAGAGGCGAAAGCTTGGAGCCGTACCTTTTACGGTCATCATCACTCCTGTTCGAGGCTGGAGTGAGAGGTGTATCAGCAGAATTGTTGGAGGACGAAATTTTTGGAGTTTCAAGTGTGTGAGTCCCAAAGGGCGCTAAATTAGGAGGAGGCATACTTGGATCATAAGAGGGACTTGCAGCCTGGTTAGTTTGGTACCGAGCACGCTTGTTGGGCCTGTCATAGGGGAGCGATTCCGTTCCAGATGCACCAACATCATCTTTTCCACTACTATAAAACGGTGGTGTAGAAGTAGGGCTATCGACATTTGGTAACGTAGTACTGCGATTAGAGAAAGTGCTGGTGCTAGGGCTTTGGACAACAGAATCTGTAGGAGATGGAACGCTGTCCTCATAATTCTGACGAAGTCGCGATATAACTGGTCTCTGCGCGGGATTTGGTGTGTTCGGTGCAAGAGAGCGGTGTCGCTCGTAGCTCTGTGTGGGCTGATAATCTGGTCGAGACGGGGCGAAAGAAGGAGACTGATACGTTGGTGTTGAATTAGTCACAAACAAAGCTGGGTCTATCATCATCTCGGATTGTGCCCTCGGCGCTTCTAATGCTGTTGTCGATTGTTGTCCGCGGCTTTCTTGAATATTGGGCAAGTCAAGCGCAGTCTGTTTATATGCGTCGACAGGCTGTATATGTTGCGGTACCGCTTGGAATTCGACCTGTGAGGATGTTCTTCGCGCTGGCGCTGGATTTCCGTTGTTCGTTCCAACATTTCCCATCTCAGAGAAAAGGTTCATTTGCCCAAAGCCAGGTGTAGTAGGGCTATCCCCCTTCTTCTTCCCCCTGCCCTCCCAATTCAACCTGATATTGTAATCGCATGCTTCACCCTGCCGTTGGCAATTGACACATATGGGTCGAGCTTCGTCGCATTTCACCTTTCGAGTTTTGCATGGCCTATGTTCGAGAGTTAAACCTCCATGCGGATTCTAGGCAGCCGGTAGCACAGCACTACAACAGGAATAAGATGACTCTAGAAAACGTACCAGCAGCCAGTTCTACTTCTTCTTTTCGGTTCTGGAGCACCAGCTTTCTTTGGTCGTGGCATTGTTACATGAAATTGGAATTAGAATTGTAGGAGCTGCTGCCCATCTGCGAAGCTTGGGAGGGAATCACGGCGACGGTGGAAGGTAGGCGGCCCTTGCTGCTGACGTCTTATGTTTTGTAGACGGGCAGATTAAATGTCTGGTCTGATGTGACATGTTAAGAGTACGATTGGGCGGAATAGCAGAAGAAGAAGGGGATTTGCATTAATTATCGTTGTTGCAGAGAGCAGAGAGCAGAAGGCTGAGGAAGTGGGAGAAAATGAAGCTTCGAGGTTTGGATTGCAGGAAGCTAAGCTTCTGGATTGCGCTACGGCGATAAGCTGCATGCATGTGGGGTGGGGGTGGGGTGGGTCCTTCATGTCCCTTACAGTATTAGGGGAAACATGTGCACAGCTTGTCCCTGGGTAGGCAGTGAAAACGGCGAAGTGGAGTGTAATATTGGATTGGATTGCTTTTTACATGATCTCTATATTGAGAATTTTGATATCTTCTTCCGGTTTTTCCTTGTAGACTCTAGTGTTCTCGATCTTGTGAATAACATCCAGCCCTTGAATCGCCCTGCCAAAAATGGTATGCTTATTATCAAGCCAAGGCTATATAGTCATTAGTTCATGCTATGGTCCACGGGGGCTCATAAACTCACAGTCTTTTCAGTTGTTATGAAGAACTGACTCCCATTGGTGTTGGGTCCTGCGTTAGCCATGCTGACGGTATAGGGTTTGTCGTGCTTCAGAGTGCTAAACTCATCCTCGAATTCTCTTCCCCAGATACTTTCTCCGCCTGTTCCATCGCCCAAAGGATCACCGCACTGTATCATGAATTTGCGGATGATTCTGTGGAAGATTGTATTGTTGTAGTAACCCTTCTTCGAATGGGTTACGAAGTTTTCCACTGCTTTCGGGGCTGCCTCAGGGAATAGACGGAGGTGGATATCACCATAGGTCGTATGAACAATTGCAGCTGTTCCAGTCTCGGCAGCTTTCTTCTCAATTGCCTTTCTCACATTTGCATTGATCGGCTTCTCGTTATGGACATCTCGCTCCGACTTGGAGATATTCTCGTCGTTTGTGAACATATAAAATCGGACTTTGCCAACGCCAGTGACAAAGAGGATTGGATCTCGGACTTCTGATTCCTGAAGCAAGGGATTGCTTGAGGCAGCCATAGCCACAGTCGTAATGCCTTTCTTCTGAGGCTGTCCTTGATATATGGCAACACTGAGAGGTCTGAAATTCTCATCTTTCCCATAGACCTTGACCACTCTGTTCGTAAAGGTGTTGAGAACCTTCGTTCCAAGCATTGATCCGTATATAATGAAATGTCCCGTCTCATCGAACGCGACAGTTGCCTTGTTTCGAAGTGCCGGAGTATCGATTTCTCTTTCAGTGGCAATTCGTCTTCCAAATTCCACATCTTCCAACTTTTGAAGTGCTGTACCCGCCTGTTGCATCTCTTCGATGATTTGCAAAGACTCGTCGTAGGTCCGGTAGAGCTTTCCAGTGGGAAAATCGAAGACCCGTATTTTGCGGTCAGGGAATGAAAATGTTGCAAACTGGGCTCCCGATGGAGATATGGTGAGCGAGGAGGGTGTAGATTTGGCCTTCTTGAATTCGAAGAGGTTTGTCGAACTCTTATATTCGAAAATATTATCAGGTTTCTCATAGTTGCCTTCTGGTCGCCAGTACTCGATCATACCATTCTCATCAGCCGATACTACACAGTCATATGCATCATTGAAGGCCATTAGAGACACGACACTTCGGTGCAACCCAGATATGGTGTGTATTGGGTCTTGGTTTTCTCCTCTCCCATCATAAATCTGAATCGTATGGTTGACCTCGTCTGAAATTGCGAGCAGAGGTAACGAAGCGCCCCTTTTATGAACCCAACATACGCATTTTGGCGTGAACTCCAGAGTAAGCATAGACAAGAGGTCGAAGGTTATGACATCAAAGATCTTGATACTCTTGTCTACCCCAGCAGTCGCAAAGCTCCTCCCATCTGCGCTCACAGAAACACTCTTGATCTCCCCAGTATGCGCCCTAAATTCCTTTACAAACTCGATTCCCTCCGCGCCTTTCTTCCAGAACTTCACTACACCATCAACGGAGCTTGTAATAAGGAAGTCGGTCAATGGAGTGACGGTAATGAAGGAGAGCTGTTCTCTGTGCATGAGCGACTTCGAGTATTTTGCGGATGTGGGAAGAGCGGAGATATACAGCTTTTCGTATGGGAGCTTGCGGCGTTTCTTCTTGGGGGCTTCAGCAGAGGGAAGCTGGGGGCCCATATCGTCGTCTGAGGAGTCGTCTGCAAGATGTTAGTAAATATATATAAAAAGCCAGGGCTTCACCTACCTTCATCTTCTGATCGACTCCTCTTATTTGATTTTGCTTCTGTTCCTTGTTGCGCCATCTTCAGCTCCTTGAGAATCGTGGGTCGCAACAGTTGTGTTGTTTATTCAAGACTGCAAATAAGGCTGAGAACGAGGCACAGACTTTTGGGCCCTGGATCCGTCCACTTTCAAATCGTCCACTCTTTGCGGCCGCTTCACTTCTGATGTTTGTTGTACGGAGTACTCGGGTAGGACTGGACCTTTTACTACATGTATATATTCAATCTTTCATTCTATTCCGTCCTTTCAGTTCATACCTTTCCATAGACAAGCCATTATGGTATCCAAATCGCAACAGCTAATGGCCCAGCACCCGCTGCAGCGCCTTTCCTCGCCATCCCGCGGCATCTCAGCCATCATTCACATCTTGGGCATTATCTCTTTCACCCTATCCTATAAATACCTTGTCGACTTTCCTACCCTAATAAGCGATTCATACGGCTGGCATTTCCAATATCTCACCATCTTGGGCCTCACAGTGGCATGCGCGACCTTCATATTCGGCTTCCTAGCAGACCTGACTTTATCGCCAAAGCTCTTCTTCATCAAGAATTCCCTGGCGCTATGCAGCGCACCTTTAGAGGTTCTCATCAGTGTGCTGTATTGGGGAATATGTTCTATTGATAAAACCCTAGTGGTCCCGCCAGAGATCCATATTGATCCCTATGCTGATGTTGGGTTTCATGCTATGCCTGCCATCCTGCTCACTGTCGATCTGTTATTTCTGTCTCCTCCGTGGACTATACATGCTATACCAGCTATGGGGTTAAGTTCTGCGATTGCAGTGGGGTATTGGGCGTGGGTTGAACATTGCTTTAAGCACAATGGCTTGTGAGTTTACGAGCAGTCAGAGATAAAGGCCCGGCCTTTGCTGATGTATGAATAGCTACCCATATCCTCTATTTGCTCAGCTTGATACCATACAACGAACTGCACTGTTTACCACTGCAGCCTTGACTATGACCGCGAGTACGATGGTACTACGTTGGCTCCACGGACGCGTCAATGGACTGCAAGGAGCGGAGAAGAGAAGTACGCCGAATAACATCAAAGGCGAATAATTGCTTGTAGTATGATTTGGACGAATTATGATCTAGAATTAGACATAGAAGACAGCGATCTGGCTGTCTTCTCCCATGTCATCTTATACCCCATAAATGGGAGTCGGCTGTTACTGTATGATGAACTGAATCACGAAGATCTCAAGACAGCTCCTACGACTCTGTATTACTACCTTGTTACTAGAAAATATCCATGCCATCATCTTTTGGCTTTTGCACGATATACCTACGTGGTTCACGCACGCTCTATGATATCCTCTGATTTCCCATCTCCTTTTGCCATTTCTCACAACTTTTCCTTTTCAAATCCCCATACTGCTTTTCTAATCTCTTCGCTTTCTCGGGATCCGCCCGTGTAGCCTGAGCCCGTATCCGCTTTTTGTATCCCTTATAAATTTCCACATCCTTACTGTCGTATTTCAACATCAACACCATCTCATGTTGTACCCTCAGGTAGTTCCTCACATAGTAGCGCTTAGCAGTATCTTGGCCATCTTCATCCTTCATACCTCTCATTCAGCAGCGCCATACTCGTTCGTCCATTGTGTATACGCCATTGTTGAAACAGGCTCAACAAGGGGGTAATTCTCTCTATGCACTCCGCCCTATGATTTTGTGGCTCTCAAATGCTTCCTTTCCGTATTTAACAACGAAGGCGTTCCAATATTCTGTTTAATGTAAATAAATCTCACCAAGGCCAAGCCTCCACACGCCAAAAACTCACTCGCAATCCTCAAACAAGACTTCAACGCCTCCCATACAACGTCATCTCGCGCCTCCCAAACGCCCTGTATACCATGCCCAATCACCATTATTCCTTGCTTCCAATTCGCCCTCCTAAACAGCGGATGGATCGGAACATCCTCCAGCTCATTCTCCTTCTCATCATCTAATTCAACACAGCCTATATCCTGCAATTCTCGTGTGGTGAGACCGGAAAGCCATTCGCGCTGGTATCTCTCTCTGCGCCGGGCCTGTGTGCGGGCTTTGCGGGACGGGACCTGAGATCTGAGAGGGGGAAGGGGAGGGGAATGGGTATAGACCAGATTTGAAGGTTCGTATAACGAGGCGAGAGCGGGAGATGCCGTATTTGGTGCCGTAAGCGTTGGGGGGCGTTACTTTTCGGAATCGGAGAAGTAGTCGCTTTCTGGTCCGTCGATGCCGGCGAAGGGGTCTTCGAGAGCGGATATTGTACTGGCAAGAAGCAAGACAATGCCGCGGAGGATCAAAGACTCAAAAAGAAGTTGGCCGGCTTAACATTATGTCTCAGAATGGAGGAATGCAAATGATCGACTTTCGACCCTGGTCACGTGCGTAGCAGCTTTTGACCTGACCTCAGATCAACATTGCAGTCTCTTCCACCAACAACTTTATGCGCCTTTAGTGTTTCATAGTGGATGCATCGGAACACCCAATCAGCAAAAAGGTGCTATTCTTTCAGCTCTCAAACGTGTCAGCGCACCTCAATCGCAATTGCAGCATCTTTCACAAGACAAGAAATTGTCTTGGCTTCAAATTCCAGAACATGTAGGCGCTTGTGGGTGTTAAATATTACCAGCTGCGTTCATCTGGTCCTGTTTAAGCAAGCTGGTGATTTTTTTCTGAGTTGCGCTATTTGATGAATTATCGTCAGCTTTCTTTGCTACAAGCTCCTTTGTCAGCGAAATCAAGTGTATCTACCTTCAGTCTTTCCTATCAGCTAGGTATTTCCAAAATGCGCCCGAGGGCCTCTTTCATAGTCACGTTGTAGGAGATTCGGCTCAATCTTGCAGCATCCAAGACTACATGTGATTAGTAAGCGTTTTCGGGGATGAAGCAACTATGAGATTGATCGATATGTTGTCAAAGAGCGTGTTCACCTCATTTTCCAGTTGGTGTAATTTGGAATACATCCTCGGTTGCGGGGTAGCTTCCAGGGGTCAATAGGGGACGAGTACAGTAAGCATTGAATATGTAGGTCAAGCAGCGAATTCGGATTTTCCTGCCCTTGCCAGTTTGACCAACACGGGTTTTCTTTTAGATCAGACCTCAAGCTTTGGTAAAAATACCTGCGACTTATTTATAACTGCGACCGAGTACCACTTAGCTCAATAGTCTTTTGTCCTTTCAAATAAAAAAACTCAAATTTGACGGCCCCAAGAAATTGTTCTACTTATGTGCATATCTACGTATGTATTCTGTTCATACAGGGTATGTAGTAGATGTAACGGGAAAATGACTCTTCGAAGACTTCCTCACGCAACGGTACGCACGTATATTGGGACGAGGTGTCTTTTCTTTCCACATAAGCTCATTCAAAACGAGGAACACCGACAGAAGGACTGCGAGCATTTATTTGGAATAATGAGCTCAGTCAGATACAGTGATCACGAAAAAGAAAAGTGGGACTTTCTGCAGCCACCTTTAATGAATAAGAACACAAATTCTCTAGCTCGGTGAGACGTTCCAAATGTTCAAGTAATATTGACAAATCTCTCTTTCGAGTATCGGGAAACTGAAGTATATATACCAAGGTGCCTTTATCGTAGTCCTTTCAGAAATTCCAAACATAATCATCACTTTCCCCGAACATGAAGTTTTTACTTCTTACCACCATCGTCACGGGGGCAGCTGCCTGGAACCTGTCAGCAAAGCTCTGTCAAGATTTCGATTTGACTGTGACAGTTACCTCAAGCAATTTTGTTTTCGGAGCACCGAAGTTCAATAATAATTTTGATATTACTGATTTTGTGACCGACTTGACAAGCAGAGAGCCCCCGAAAACCTTCAGTCCCCTGTTACCAGACAAGATCAATCAGACTGGAACCTATAAAATCGGTTCGACTTTCTGTGCCCCCTCCAACCCGCATGCGCCGAATAGATATACTGTCATTTTTGCGACTCATGGACTGAACTTTGACCGAACGTATGTTCCTCCTGCTCCATATACTAATTTGTTCTGTTGCTCACTGCTATTAGATATTGGGATTCAGGCTTTCAGCCAGAAAAGTATAGTTTCGTTGATTATGCCATAAGCCAAGGCTATTCAGTCTTCTACTATGATCGACTAGGAGTAGGATCCTCTTCAATGTAAGAAATAACTCAAATCTACCACTTGCTTTGAACAGATCCTGATTATTTGCAGTGTTTCCGGATACATCAACCAACTCCCCATTCAATCCGAAATTGCAAAACAATTGGCCCGAATTGTCAAATCTGGAAGATATCCAGGGTCCATCGGCAAACCTAAGTCTTTGGTCATAGTCGGGCACAGCTTCGGAAGTTCGATTTCGGCAGCCGTAGCAGCTTCTGAACCAGATATCGCCGATGGCCTGATCTTGACAGGTATATGTTTTGCTTGACAACAAACTCTTGACATACTGATATCTCTGCAGGGTTTAGCTACAATGGAAGCAACCCCAATAACTTTGCCCTAGCAGCACAATTGAAGATTGCCTCGTCACTAAATCCCGCTAAATGGAACAGATTAGACACCGTAAGATCCAAAATGGTAAGCTATATTTCACGAGCTTACATACACTTAGGGCTATGTCACTCCAGTAGACATTTATGCCAATGTCAATGGGTGAGTTAATTTCCTCCCCTAAAGCGATTCAATGCTAATGAATTGAAAAGATTCTTCAAGGCGCCGGACTATGACCTCGCCGTAGCCGAGTACACCGAATACAACAAAGCGCCCTTCGCGATAGGAGAATTTTTGACAGTGACTGCTATTGATATTCTTCCAGTAGCATTCAAAGGAGTAGCCATGGTCATCGCGGGGCAACGCGACTTCATTGTCTGCCAGAGCCAGTACGTGCAGTCCATCCATATGAACGAGAGTACTCCGTAAATATATTTTCTAACTCTATGTGTAGATGCGACGATGTAATTGAGCATCCAGCAGCCGAGATCTTCTCTCAAGCATCTGCTTTTAAAGCTGTGAGCTACCCTGGATCTGGGCACGGGATCAACTTTGCTCTCAATGCTACTGGTGCATACGAGGAGATTTTCAGCTACCTTGGCGCGAATGGTCTCTGAAAATGGCATTGGGCTAGAGATGGACAAGTGTTGTGGTGTGACTAGGAAATAAATGTGACGAGTTATAGATTCAAGTATCTTTCCTTCAAGTATTTGTAGTTTATAGAAGAAATTAAAAGTAGGAAGATCAGATCTCATGGTTTTCAAAATCAGATTCCCTCGTGCTAGACATAAAGAGGCAGTTATTATCATCAATTTTTGGTGTCCCACTTCATGCTACAAATTATAAATTATGGTAGTGCGGCTTTTTCTGTCCAGCACTAGGAAAGTCAAAGTCTCCTTTAATTTTACCGAGCTCCAAAATTACCAGAAAAGGGGAGTGAGCCTAGCTAGCTCGCTTTTGCACGTGCCTCTTCGATAAGCCCTTTATCGTAACGCTAAGCCTTCTTCCAACATCAACACTATATCTTTCCTTCCCTATTTCTCTTCTTTACGGCATTATTATTTGCGATCATCATGGCAAGCTTTCGAGTACCTGCGCTGCGTCATGTTGTCTCCGGTGCAGCACCATATCTGCGGGCGTCGCAACGAAGATGGGCGCAGGTGCATGATGTCCGGTTTCTAGCCACCCAGCAATCGAATCGAGTTTTAGAGAAATATAAGGAGAAGCTGGATCAAAAGGCAAAGGAGTGAGAAGAATATATCCTCGAAAGTTTAGGTGTACTGTACTAAGCAATGAACAGGGAAGGATTGAGAGATATCCATGAACTTAAGGAAGTCTACAAAGACAAGATCGAGCACCAGAGGCAAATGGCTTCTATCAAAGTTCCCCTCCCTAATGCGCTTCCTACCCCTCCACCATCTCCGAATGCATCTTCTCCATTCTCGCCTCCTCCCCCGCCCCCACAGATACCCGTGGAGAAAGCAGCCTCATCACCAGGCATTAAGACCCTCTCTTCATACCTCGACCTAGAAAAAACCCGAGCCCTGCCGCAGAAAGAATTAGAGGCGATTTGGCGCCTACGACACGTCGATGATAAGCAATCACTCTGCGCTGTGATACCTCTCGATGTATACAAAACTCTCGAAGCGACTGCAAAGAAGCACCCACATTTTATCTTGCCTCTGCCGAGAGAAGGACAAGGTGCTGAAATACACTTCCTCCAATGGACGTTTCCAGCAGAGAACACCGTCACTGTTTTGTTCACGCATCTTGCGGAATACAAGCTGCGTGGGGAATTCAGCCAGCCGCATACGACAATTACGCATCATCTTGAGCTGGCACAAGACAAGGGTTTGGTATTGTTACAAGGACAGGTCGTTGAAGGGAGGGGGTGACTGTCGATGAGGCGAAGTGGTTAATTATGTGTTTGCAAAAGTTCTATGGGTTTGGCAAGGAGAACAACGAGAGGAAGAGATTATTGGAGATGTTTGGGAAGGGTGATCCGGCGTTTAGGGTGGAAGATCTGGTTGAGGAGGCAGAGAAGATTATTTAAATCTCATGTTCAACAGAATGTACAAAAGAATCAAATGAGTAGGAAGTTGTAAAAACCGAGCCCATCTTGGCGCACGGGCTTTGATGTTGGAATATAATGCAGAATTGTTCTCTCCAGGCCGGGAACTATAGGTTTCTTGACTCTTAGCAACAAGATGGGATTGAATGGTTTTGAGTCCCAGCGCTTGGCTCTTCGCGCTCGGTCAACAATACTCGTACACCACGATCTCAGCATGGCATTACGCTGGACTCCAGTCAACAAACAACCCCCAAGACAGTTCAAAGACGTTCTTCCTCCCAATACTCCCAGTCCCCCAGCGCTACCCGCCCCCCCCTTACCGCATCAATCGAGCCACGCGCAAAAATGTCCGAAAAGCGCGTCCTCACCAAACAGCTGCAACTCCTCGCAGCCGAAAAAGCCTTTGAATGCATACCCCTGACACCAAGTAAAGACCTGGCGCTGAAGCGCTTCCTAATCGGGACACGCTCCCCAACATCTTTCCATGCCCTGCCTGTCACGCTCGGCTGGACATGCTCGATTTCTCCGCGACTGTACGAGCATATTTTGAAATTTCGTGCATTGTAGACTCTGGACTCTGTGTTGTTTTTAAGTGTATGGTTAAGAGTGGAGGTGTGAGATTAGCTGAGGAGGG